AGCTAGGAGAACTAAAAGTGTGTGCTACCACTTTCTCAATACCATCCACCTAGTCAGTCAGCATTAACTCATTATTGAGAATTTATGATATGTCAAGATTAGGGACTGCCGAAAAAAGTGATGGGAAAGCTGTTATTTTTACTCTGCTTCAGTATGAGGTAGGCTAGGGGGAGTGAGGATGTTCCTTAAGTCCATTAAAAAAAGAAGAGGGCCCTCCCTGGTGGTGCAAGGAGTTAAAGCACAGCACTATGGGTCAGGAGTTCGATCCTCGGCCAGGCATCTAACACATGTGGTGCAGCAGACCTCTCCTGTCTTGCCCACTGCTCCCTTCAGAAGAGTATTTCAGTGAATCTGCCTGTTCTGCTCCCAACTCTCTCTATGGTGAATTCTCTCCCCTTCCGCACCTTTGGCCTGTAACCCAGTTCTTGTATGCATAGATAAATAAATCTTTAAAAAAAAAAAAAAGAAGAAGAAGAAGAAACAGGAAAATGGGAGAACCGTGTGATTTGACATAACTCATCTCAGTTCACCCCTATTTCAGTACTTCACATATATCCAACAGGATTTGATACTTACATCATCATTTTAGAGAAGCCTGCCTCAAAAATGGTTTTTCACATGAAAAAACCAAGAAATTTTAGGTGATATGAAAATAAGGATATTGAGCCATTTTTTAGTATTTACAAAGAAGTCATGGTAGTGTTCATTGTCTAAAATTTTAATGGAAATAGATAAAAATTGATATATTTTAATTATTTTTGGTAACATTTTTACTAGAGTTAAATTGATTAGACTTTACAACCATCTTAGGACACTTTTAGAGCTGACATTTTTAGTGTTTAAAGAGATCAGTTATGCATTTCAGAAATATACTTAGCCATCAACTGGAAAGTCACACTAAAAATGGAGTGTTATGTTGAGAAATTATTCATAGATCTTCTTTCAAAGCTCTTCCATATATGCCCTGTAATGGGGTTAGTCTTCCTTGAAGGATCTCAGCCTTCAAACCAGAACTCGAGCTATGAAACAGTTTCCATAGACAGATAGAACCTCATAAAAGTCACTGAAATCGTGTAGACATTTCCAAAACCAGCACAGATTTAAAGTTTCAGGAGAGTGTTTTAAAGATACAGATGTAAATGCTTATACCTACAGAAATATCTCTTTATAAAGAAAAAGGCACGTTGAGAAGGTGGGCTCCCTGCTTATCTTTTTCCCTCTGTGCTGTGCAGCAGCTCAGCAGTTTGTTACCTGTTTGGTTCTTAAATATTTCCAAATGGCCCTTCCTGGTGTCGCAGTAGGTTAAAGCGCAGCACTGCAAGCTAGCCGCAGCTGCTTCAGTGCCAGTTTGATCCCTAGCTCCAGAGGTGACCCACATGGTGCAGCAGACCTGACCTGCCCGCTGCTCCCCTCAGCAGTGTGCTTCATCATTCTGCCTGTTCTGCTCCCCACTCTGTCTCTGGTGAAGCCTCTCACCTCACCACCTCTGTACCTCTGGCCTGCACTCAGTTCTGTATGAATAAATAAATAAATGTTAAAAAAAAAGAAAAAGAAAAAGAAAAACATTTCCAATAAGGCAACTCTGAAGCTTACCATGGTGATGCCCAGCAATATGGAGTTGTAAAATGCAGTGGAGAATGAGGGGCTGTGGGGTTCTTTCCTGAAATTCTTGGCCTACAGCTGTTCAACTTGCCTGTCCTGTTTGCTACCTGTTTCATATAATTTAACAATAACCTTTATTCACATTGAGCCAAGTTATCACATTCACTTTGTGACCAAGTGGAAGGAAATAAAATATGCTGTGTGCTCATAATGCATTAAATCATCTTTCCCCAGTTTTCAATTCTGTAATGACATGCTCCAGTTTTCTATTTATTAGGACGGCATAACAGGAAGAGCTTGGGGTTGTAAAGTATCATAAACACATATTGCTATTGTCATAGAAATATTTTAGTATGTAGAAATACGTTGCTTCCCCAAATGAACCTAGAAAGCTTTGTGTTGACAAGGTAATTTAGCTATTTTTTGAAATATTACCACCTGACTTTCCGTTACATACTGTTCCATCTTGTGTTAAACACGTATCTTAAATAATGAGCTAGCATGTACCCTTCTTTTATAATATTTGCTTAAACATCAGTAACATCAGTCTATGAATTACAATTTTTTTAAGAGGAATTATTTTCTCAATTCCTGAACATTCTTGGGGAAAAAGTTCTGTGACTTTTGCTAATGGAGCTGATAAAACAATCAAAAAAAACAAAAGGAAATTATTCAAAAATAGAGCTCTAGCTCTGTTTTTCCATATAATAATATTGTTAAACAGAAATAAAACTATACAGTATAAGCAATAATAGTCAACCACTAAGGCAAGGTATGGCCCTGTCAGAATGGATTCTGTCTGGTCAGTAGCAGGGTTCTGAAGGCCTCTGGTTACAATTGTCAAAACTTTGGGTGCTGGGTTATAGATGGGCAAAGGATTAGAGTAGGGGTGTGGGGAGCCCTAGAAATCCTAAGACAGCATCCACATGCTAATAGTTTACAACTTTAACAGCTGGGACTTCTGGACCAGGACATCCTGGCTTCTATCAGCCCCATGTTTATCAAAAATTGTATGCTGCATATTAATTGGGAAAATTGTAGAAATGGAGACTTTAGTGGTGTCAAATCAGACCTTGTTCTTCTAAGCCGTGTGGGTGTTTGGTAGAGGGACAGAGAAGGCAATGAGAAGGCTCCAAGGAGTGTACCAGAGGGGGGTGGATTTTGTGCATTGTACAAAAGGTGTTTTGAAATTCACATGGGTAAGAACCAGCTTGTTATCTTGCTCATGGTGTATTTCTAGTACTTAAACCCTACTTGAGGTTTAATAGTCTATAAATGAATTAAAGTGAATCACTGCTATTTGACAATGTAAATTTTATTTGGGAACAGGAAGGAGGAACCTCTTGGGTGATGCAGGGGTTAAAGTTTCAGTGCTATCAAACTGTTGCCAGTCACTGGCACGAGTTCAATCCCCAGCCAGGGGGCAAAGCCACATGGTGCAGCAGAGCTCTCCTGTCTCATCCCTGCTCCCTTCAGTAGTGTATTTCAGTGGATCTGCTGTTCTTCCCACAGTTTCTGGTGAATCCTCTCACCCCACACCTCTAGTCTACATCCCAGTTTTTGTATGCATAAATGAAAATAAATTTAAAAAGAAAAATAAAAAAGGAATAGGAAGGTCAACCGATCAGTAGAGGATTGTTATTAAAAAGATAGGTTGTCTTGGATGGAGCTGGAAAAGATCATGCTTAGTGAGATAAGCCAGAAAGAGAAAGAAAAATACTGGATGGTTTCACTCATAGCAGGAGTATAATGGACCAGGCGAGAAAATAACAAAAATAATGAACAACCATAGACCAGAGACATTCTGTGGGGGTGGAGTGGGGAATGGGATCAAAAACGGGGGGGTGGGGGAGGGAGGGAAATGCACGGGACTATGGTGGTGGCACAGGGGTGATTTGGTGATGGGAAACCCGTGGGGATTACAATTGAGATGAAAAAAAAAATGTGCAAAATGATGTAAAAATAAACTTTTTTAAAAAAAAAAAAGATAGGTTGTTAGTCATGGTTCCAACTAGGAGGGGATACTTCACACCATGCAGGGGACCACAAGGAGTAGAAGCAAGGAAGGTTACGAGGCACAAGGAATGAGGGGAAAACATGGACAAAATTTTTAATGTGGTTTCTGTTGGGATGCACCTAAGGTAAGCAGACCTAGGAGGGCTAGTTTGAATTATGTCAGTGGATTTGGGGTGCGGGGTCTCCCTCCAGATGTCTGGTATCTGACCTGGCTGGGTAGGGGTGAGGATAGCAGTGCTGAGTGATTCTAAGACCCAGTATAGGAGGTGGGTGGAAGACCCAGTATAGGAGGTGGGTGGAAGACCCAGTATAGGAGGTGGGTGGAAGACCCAGTATAGGAGGTGGGTGGAAGACCCAGTATAGATGGGTGTTAAAAACAGCTTCACAGGCTAGTCATTTACTGTTTCTAGCAACTGCCTAGTTCTGGGAGGGCTAATCTCACTAAGACTAGGTGTTGATCATGCCAAAACATCAGAAACATGGAAAATAAAAATGCATTTTCCCACTGGCCATGGGAAAATGATGCTCTATACCTTTATATTCAAAGGCTGGTAGAGGCAAGTAGATATATTTTTTTTTCTTCCACCATTGTTTTTACACCTGTGAGTAATTTAACATAGGACTTAATGGTATTAATTACAGCTAAGATCTATTAAACCCTTATGATGCGTTCAGCACTATATAAGAACTCTACATGCATCAACACAATTAGAGTCCCCAACACCCCATGTGGTATGGAGAGTTTATATTCTCATTTTTTATACACGAGGAAGTGGGAGCTTGAGAAATTACAGAACTTAGTCAAAGTCACTTAGAATTGCTATGTGATGCTCTTATTCTCTATGCTGTTCTACTCTCATTCATCCTATTCCAGTTACTAGTTTGTATGTCTATGCATGCAACTATTTTGAGTGATTCAAAATGTTGGCTAGTTCCTCTCACTGGTCACTGTCCAGTCACCATGAGAGAGTAAGAACCATATAAACCATGTGGAATCAATAAATAAGTTCCCATCACCAGTCATTTTAATTGGAGCAGTCTGATAAACAGAGATTCGATGGAGCAACTGTCCAGAGGGAAGGAGACCTGTCTTGTTGTTTTTGTTCTTTATCTGACGGACTCAGAATGGGGATATTGGAAGGAAATGGTGTTTGACTCTGCAAATGGTTATTTCTCTTTGTGCATTCATGCCTTCATCAGGGTTCCACCAAAGCTTGCTTTGTAGAGCACGATTTAGAAGTATGTGAGATGGTGCCTGACCTTGGGAAACTCAGTGAGTTTGCAGAACGTATGCAACCCAGGAATGTCTACGGGACTGACAGAGTGCCCGCTTGTCATCCTTGGCTTTCCTGATCATGCCTCCTTTATCATCTTCCTCCCAGCTTGCCACCGATCCTGCTTTGGGTGTGTGGGGAAGAGCGAACACAACTGCACAGCCTGCTGGCCTGCCCACGTGCTGTTGGGTGGGGCGTGCATCTCTCACTGCCCAGATGGCCACTTTGCCCAAGAAGGCAGGTGTACAGGTGAGTATGTGACATGCCAGGGCGTAGTTCTAGGCCCCATGTTCTTTTTCATAATGCAGCCAGACACTATAATTAGAAATTTGTCATACCAAAGGATGAGGACTGAGCAATAAATCCTTGCCTTGAACTTGGGATAAAGGCATAGTGTAAGCAGAACAAGTGAAATCTTGTTCTTCTGATAGGGAAGTATCTATAAAATGAAAATTTGGAAACAGTTTAAGCCCTTCGCATTCAGCAAGGAATGGATTTCGTGATGGTCATCACGGACACAGGCTCCCACAGACCCTAGCATTTGTATAGGATCAGGCATTTGGCAGTAATGCTGTAACATTCAGCCCCCTTCCCCAGGCTATAGCCTAATAGAGCAGAAAGAGAGAGAGGTGTTTATTTTCTTCTTTGACATGTCGGTACAATACGTTTTTTAAAGAGAGCCTTTATATTTCAGTACTGGGAGATTCTAGAAATTACTAGTTGAGATTAGTTCAATATTTTATTAGAATTGACAAAATACTAAAGTTTAAGCACCTTACTTGAGCACTGTTTCCTGTATCTACAGAAAGGGAAAAAAAGGACTGAACACATTCTATGGTGATCATTATTTCAGTTTAAAAATAGACTGTTGTGGCCAGCTTATAGAAAAAAGCCCACAGTTATGACAGTGTATTACATGTATTTATGGAACTGGAAAACAGGTAGTACATTTATAAAATATTTAAGAATAAGTTAATACTTGTTAGATTCCTTTGGTCTCAAACTCCAAAAAGGAAATTTAATGTGAGCACAAATCTAGACGATTGAAGATCAATATTATAGTTCCTTTGGAATCTTCTTTCCCCAAGTACCTTTTTAATCTCTCTAGCTCCCTGATGGGCTTCTTGCTTTAAACATCTTATCAAGCACAAGTGAGGAGCAATCCTGGTTTCTTGATCATTGAGGACACAAGCTTCCACAGACCCTGGCATTTGTCCTTGAAAATTGTCCATATGTGCTTTCCCCCTTGCACAGTTGTTTTGTGTGTGAGTGAGCTTTAAGTAGCTCTAACTCTGCTTGGCCTACACCTCTTGTCTGCTGGAAGCCAGCAGATGGATGGGATCATGAGCAGCAAGGCACCTAGGTCACTGAAAATCCCTAGCGGGAGGAAGACCTGGGTGGTAGAAACCATCCCAGAACACAAGTGTCTTTTCAGCTGGAGTGTGCAACATTGAGAGCCTCAGGAATGCAGGGCGGGAGCTCATGCTTGCCTTCTAATCAGTAGTTCATTTTCTTGCCTTTTTTTTTTCTTTTTAACTTTTTATCTTCTCTTGGCTTCTCACCAGAAGTGAGAGGCGGCTGATTTTACTCAAAATCTACGCCTTTGCTTTCTACCAACTCTGAGCCAGAAGGGAATTTTTTTGTTGACAGTTCTAGCAAGCTGTACCCAGCTCTAGTCCCTCTCCTCCCCTCCTCTTGGAATGAGACAGGCTTAGCCCTCCTTGTCCTTGGCAGAAAAATCCTTCAATCTCCTTCCATGTGTTCGCTCCTGCTGCCTGCTTTGGCAGCGCAAATACATCCGCAGCTGCAACTTCTTTTATTTCTTGCCATCCTTCTCTTTATTGCCTACACCTACTGTGACTCACTTGTTTTCTATTCAGTGTAGTACCTCTTATTAACTTGGTGGTTTTTCTGGGGGAAATACAGATTCAATATAATTTTGTCTAAGGAGGAGAACTTCAAATACAGTTCATGGTAACCACCAGAAGTCTTTCTCCTGTTCTTTGTATTGTAAATAATAAGCATTGTTGCTGAAATCTGGCATCCGCACGCGGTGTGACCTGACAGGAGAACAGGGCTGGTAACTGAATTAGTGAGACATTTTGGGTCTCCTTGCTGTGGATGGTTCCCCTTTTACCTGCCAGGAATTTCTGAGAGGCGAAATGGTTCCCTCCTCTCCCAGTTGTGCTCTTTTTGAATCATGGTATTTTACGGAGAGTGTATCTTTTCACTTATGCTCTGCTCAGTAACTGTGATCTGAACCAATTCACTCACATAGATGGAGGATCATGATGGCTTTGCTGGAAAGTGCAGCCAGTTACTCTGATATTTGTTTGATTGTTTATCAGTATAATCTAGCTAAGTGACATTAATTTTTATAGATATATGTTATTGGCAGAAATATGTATGTATGTATGTATGTATGTATGTATGTATGTATGTATGTATGTATATATAAACAATTACATTGTTGTTCATTTTGTACAAAGTTTGATTTCTCCCCTCAGGCGTAATTCCCATAATTGTCCCAACACCACATCTTTCGTGAGCCATCACCATAGTCCTTTGTATTCTTCCCTTCCCTGGCTTCATTACTCTTCTCCTGCAATTTTTGCCTTTTCCCTCGCCCTTTGTTCAGTTTCCTTATATTTCCCTTATAAATGAGACCGTGTGATATTTTTCTTTTTCCTTCTGATTTATTTCACTGAGCATAATCCCTTCTAGTTCCATTCATGTTGCTGCAAATGGCATGAGTTTATCTTTTTTAATCTCGATGTAGTATTCCATTGTGTATACACCCTAAATCTTCTTGACCCATTTGTCTATTTTGGGGCATTTAGGTTGTTTCCATACCTTAGCTATTGTAAACAAACAGTGCTGCAATAAACACAGGGGTGCAGATTTCCTTTCAAATTAATGTTTTTGCGTCCGTCGGGTAGATTCTGAGGATTATAATCCCTGGGTCATATGGTAGCTACATTGAAATAATTTGAGGAACCTCTACACAGCATTCCATGGTGGCTGGGTCAGTTTGCTGGCGATGTAAAAAGGTTCCTTGTTCTCCTCACCCAGTATTTGTCATTGACAATTTTTTAATAGGAGCCATACTCACGTGTGTGACGTGGTACCTCATTGTGGTTTTGACTTGCATTTCGCTGAAAGTAAGTGACACTGGACATTTTTTTTCATATTCCTGTTGGCCAATTTGCCTTTCTTCTTTGGAGAAGTATCTTTTTTAGCTCTTCTGCCCTTTTTTTTTTTTTTTGACTGCTTTGTTTTTGTTGAATTGTGTAGCTCTTTCTAGATCTTAATTATCTGTCACTTGCTGGCCGTATCACCTACTCAGTAAGGTTTTTGGCTACTATGTCTTGCTATGGACGGTTTTTACTCTGATTTTTGTGGTTCAGGATTCCATATTCTTTTTAGGAACTGTATTTTCATTTCTAACAAAAGTACAGACCTCATGTGTGTCTTAGTCAGATGTGTGCATGAGGCTTGTGCAGGGATCTTCAAAAGCTTGTTTGTGTTTGAGGTCAGCTCTTACTGTAATTTGTAGCTGGTGTTAAATGCTTCCTGGACTGACATGCTGAGGTGATAACTCCGGCTCTCATGTTTGTTCCCCCAGAATGCCACCCCATCTGTAGGCAGTGCCATGGCCCTTTGGAATCTGACTGCATCTCCTGTCACCCCCATGTCACCCTTAATGGGGGGAGCTGCAGGACCAGCTGTAAGGAACAGCAGTTCCTCAACCTTGCGGGCTACTGTGCAGGTGAGTGAGACCTTCTTATCCTCAGAAATTAGGGCCAGAGGCTGGGGTTCCTTATCATCTGATTAACTGCTCTTTTCTCAGTTTTCTCCTCTTTGGGAACTCACTTCACTGGTTTCTCTTGGACACTTAGTAAATATGTAGATTCAAGTGGAACAGTATAATAACACTCTTGTAATTATCCTGAAAAAAAAAAAAAACACAAATCGGTTAACCTCATACTAATGAAGAATGAAATGATAATGATGATAATGTACACATGTGACACACTCTTAAGATAGTAAAATGTGTTTTCAAATTAGTCACTCTGAAGACTGCCTGCCTTTTTTTCTACATTTTCTCCTGAAACTTACTGTGGAAAGTCCATGCCATCAGCCCTAGAAACAAAAATTTAGGGAGAATAACCCCAAGGTAAGTCAGTGGAACTGAGATTTTCTCCTCCTCATTTTAGTACTTAGATAGCAAAAAATAATTAGGAAAGCAGCCTGGAATTTGCATAACAATAAAGAATTCATGCAATGGCTTTGTTCATCTATCCCCCCTTCATACAGCAAATATCCTTGAGTGTCAACGAAAGATCAGATGCTCAGAACACAAGAAAGACAAGAAAGAAGATCCTGCCCTCAAAGAGCTCACCATCTAGAGGGAGGTGTCTATAGACTAGTAGCTTATTTTATATTTCTTGACTACTGTCCAAGTTGAGGAAAAACTGGAAAAGTTTTCCTGCAGCTCTGATGTCACAGCCTGAAGGGCTTGGCTGGAAGCTATCCTGGGAGATGTGAGGAAGGAGTTGGTGGGATGCACCGCAGAGGGGCAGACCTGCCTGAAGGTCTTGCCCCTGGCAGGAAGGAGGTATTCTCTATTGTCTAGATCCTGGTACTAAGCACAGCATTCACTCTGGGGAAGTGCTTGCTAGTTCTAGGGTGGTGCATTGAGGAGGTGGAGCCACAGCATGTCAGTGGCAGTGCTCAAGTAGTGCCACCAACGCACATGATGCATCCCTTTTTACATGTGACATTGGCTAAAGACTAGACATTGGGATAAGGTCTGTCCTCCAGGAAGACTCAGCTGTCTGGGCTGCAGCCAAATAGTGTTGGGTTTCAAGTCAAAACTCAATTGTAAAGTCTGAAAATATCATATTAACAATGAAAAAATAGAAACTCTGAGAGTTCAGGCTTATGATCAATGAATATTCCATCAGATAGAACACGAGAGCCTACTGCTGGTACTACCAGTTGTAGTCAGAGCTGACTTGGGAAGTGGACAAGTGGGAGACATCCATGCCAGCCCTTGTAGAGGAATTTAGGGTGGCAGGGTTGACTAGTATTGTAATTTGTAAGTCCTAGTTCAGCTACTGATTCTTATGGTAGAATATGGCAGAACAGCTACTATGAGAACTGTTTACTAACAGAGTTAAAGAATATTAATCGTTATTTACTGAGAATCCACTGAACATATGCTGCTATGCTTCTGTTTGAGGGGAACAGAGACCTTCCAGGATATTTTGAGTGGATGGGAAAATGACATAATTGCTGTTAACAAATCAACAAAGCATATTGTGAATAATAACACCAAGGGGTAGTAAAGATTGTAGTCAGAGGAGAGAGAAGTATAAGATATAGATGGCATTGGAGAGGAGATGGAACCCAACTTTCTTCCCATGGGATGGCTTGGATTCCATTAGACAAAGGAAGGTCAGGCAGGCTTTCTGGGTATGGTTCTATGAGTGACAGACCCTGAGGGGAAAACACACGAGCTATTCACAGTCAGTGTGTGGCCTGACCTGTTTAAAGAACATGGTCCATATTAAAGCATATTAAATGAAATGGTTGGACAATGTAAGTTGGAACCAGAAAAACCAAAGTCCCAGGCCCAAAATATTGGTGTGGGCAATGTCATAAGAGTTTGGAAGAGGACTATCACTTGAGTAAGCATTGGTTATGTGCAGGAAGTCTGCAAACTCTGTGGAAAATAGACTGGAGCAAAGAGTATAGCCAGAGAGAAGAGGTAGAAGGTAGGACCTTAATGGCACTTTTCTATTTCCAACCTTTTCTGCATAGAAGTTCTAAAATTTTCATGCTGAGGCATATTTTATAAATAAATGTTTATATAAGGAGATTGGAAAAATTTAATTTTTAATGAGCTCTGTTCTCTCTAATGTCCGGAGCCCTTTTGATACTAAATTAGGTGATTAGGAGAGACATTAATTTTTTAAGCCTAATAGAGGACCATTAGAATAAAGAATCGTGGGACAAGGCTAAATGACAATGGAAGTCACCAGTTTGGAAGAGCAGGTGCCACTACAATAAGCTGGATGAGGCTAACCGTGGCTGTCCTGGTAAGTGTGTATAGTTAAGTAAAGCTTTCAAATAAGGTAACCATTTCCTGGTGCTTATAAATTCTTTGTTGATGAGAGACTGATAAATCAGTATTTGTTACAGAAAAATTAGACAGAGGTGCAGGGGCAGTGAGAGGATTCACCAGAGACAGAGTGGGGAGCAGAACAGGCAGATCAATGAAGCACACCGCCGAGGGGAGCAGCAGGCGGGTCAGGAGAGTTCTGCCCGGCCATGTGGATCACCTCCGGGGTGGGGATCGAACGCATGCTGACGTGGCTTTAGCTTCTTAGTGCTGTGCTTTAACCCGCTGCGCCACCAGGGAGGGCCCTGGACCATTAATTTTAATTGTTCACCTCTCAGAGAACTGCATTGACCCCAAAGTTTAATATGCACGCGCGCGCACACACACACACACACACACACACATACAAATGTATATATGTATATTGGGGGTATGTATAGCATTGTAATGCATCTCTTCATTTACAGTTCCATTATACATTTATTAAATAAGCGTATGCTCATTGCCAAGTACTGCTCTGGGCTCTGGGGATACACATGTAGTACAGCATGGTGAGGCATTTAAGAAATGCATAGTATGTGAAAGGAAGCTGCCTGTATTGTATATGCTATTGCTGAGCATATGGAGTGAGCCAGTGGGGCAAAACCTCAACCCACTTGCTGTCTCTGCGTGTGTTTTTATGGGAGTGGGTAGTAAAGGGTGTTTGGAATGTGGTAATTGAGATGATTTTGAAAGATGAATCAGAATTAGAAGGGTTTGAAGATTTGGAAGTAGAACATCCCAGAATTTGGATGAAGGAAGACTGTCTATTTAGGCACCAACAAAGACTTCAGAGCTTCAAGCTTGAGCATTGCAGTGGTGGGACCTAAACCAGAAGGAGGCAGATCCCGGTCAGGAAAACCTCTGTGTGCTCTGTGGAGGATATTGCACTTTGCCATCAATGCTGGGGATTCTGTTGGAGGTTTTATCAGGAAAACATCATGGTTATAAGTCTATAGAGCAAGATCTGTGTAAGATTGCTTGCAAGAAGATAAGACAAGGTCAAAAAGAAGTTTAAAAAGAAGTTGCAGAAATCCAGACAGGAGATGACTCTGATGAGAGTTCTCTGATGAGAGTTCTGCTGAGGGGAGGGAGAGAAGGTATGTGACTTCACACCACATCAATGACCTATGAAGTTGATCCAAGTGAGGTTACTGTTTTGTGGCACAAAGTGTGCAAATTCTTTATGGTTTAAAGTAATAGAAACAACAGAGGTTGGCCATCTCTTAGTTCTGACATTAAGGGAAAGGGAATTTCAGCGATGATGTCCAAATTTTTGATCAAATATTCAAGGAAAAGGAATATATTTACCAAGGTCCAGATTGGGAAGCAATGAGAAAGATAATTGCTTGAAATTGGACAATTTCAAGTAGGAAGTAACTATTGGACATACAGGGGTAGTTCGAAGAGGAGGTTGAAGGTCTGAATGAACCAGGTTTCATACTGTAGTCACTGGGAGTTCATCTGCTCTCTTACTTAATCCTTATCTTACCCTAACCCAGAGTCCTAGAATTTTAAAAATTGTTTATAGTTGTGGAACTTTATTTTCAACTTAATGTTGCTTCAGTCAGGTTGTAGTTAACTTCCTGGGACCTTGCAGTGACGCTTACCTAAACTCCTAAAGGTGTTAGGAGGAGTCTCTTGGGGACTAAGCAGAAGGTAATCCACCTCATGCAGTGCCTTAGTGGAATATATTTTCACTCTCTTTGGGGAGTCCTGGCACAGTAGAAGCCCTGGAGCGTACCCTCTCTGCTCCCTCCATGATGTGTGAACTTTCCAGAGTGGTAGGATTGCTCATAAGATTCATTTATTCTCTATCTGAGCTGTACCTAAGATCATCATCAGAGACTCTTAATTGCACTTAGCTGTTTAAGAAAGAAAATTGCATCTAATCCATCACCCAGACAAGAATAAACACATCCTGGGAACAGGTCCAGTAACCTCAGTGTGTTATCACATATGGGGATGTCATATGTGTGGGTATTTTTTCTGTAAATCGATCAAAGCAAATATGCAGGTTATGATATTTATGCCACTGCTAAGGTTTTTAAAGATAAATGAACTGGGTTGAGAGGTAGGAGTGGGTAAGATTACAGCAGACATGGTTAAGTGTTATGGAAAACCAAGTTATTTTTTTTCCCTATAGATTTCCCCCTTAACATTTTGCCCATGTCACAACAAAATTATCCAAAAATTCCAAAGCCTGGGTGTTTCCTCCATTTGTCTTTCTCAGCAAAATGCTTTCTCCCACGTATATAAGAGGGTGAGCATTAAAAAGATATTATGTGGGAGAAATATTCAGTTGCAGATGCATTTAAAAAAATGCCTTAACTTTGTGGAATGCTTAATGAGATGGCTATACTTTTGAGTTTTTATGAAAAAAAGGAGATCACAATGAGAGCAACATTGTAGAGGGAGAGACTGAAAATTTTTAATCAGTTGGCTTGTTTGAGTGGTTGAATTTCAGGGGATTAAAAATCCGTTTATACAGTTATTTTCTAAATGCTAGTTTATTTTCTTCATACATCTGTTATCTAAATATAAGTAATAGAAGTGTCAGTGAAGAAATATTACTCTGAGATTTTCATATCATATCCCATATT